TAATTTTAAGGCTTAGAAGGCTATGATGACTCATTTGTTTTCAACAAAACCTTATGTACAATGGAAATAAAATTGAATAAATAAGTAAATTTTTTTGTTAATTTAATTAAATTTCATTTAAGTGAATGGATTAAGACCATTAAGTATTCTATGATAATTTTTTATTATATTTTTTGCACTAGTAATGATGACATAAATAATCATTATCAATAATTTGAATTTAAATTTATTTATGCAAATGTATTTCGCTGAATGAAAATAGTCTAATGGAAAAAATGTGGTATTGATTATATTTGTGTTTTGATCAAATCATTGATATTTTTAACACTTTGATTAAAACTTTATTTAAAAAAGTTTTTATTTTTTGACAAAAGTGCCATTCTTTTTATGTTTTTGTATTGCTAATTTATTTTTTCCTTTATGTAATAATATCTGAAAACAAATTGAATATTATAAAAGTCAACAAAATACTAACAAAAGCAATTCAATTCCTGCTGCCTCATGGAATTCATTGATTCTTATAGTTTGTTTTGGAGGAGTGGTGGTGAGGAATGGTATTTGGCATTACAACTGGATTTTCATGAAGTGATAAAACGCTTCAAGAAATTTATTGAACCAAATATCTGCGAGCATAACTTCGAAGAAAATAAACTAAAGACCTTGTATTGTCATGCTTTCGCGTAGCTTATGATTGATTCATAGATACTCATACCAATAATCCAACTAGTGAAAGAAAATCTCGTAAAAAATAAAATTGAAATCTATTTCCAATATAGAAATATGACAATAGAAATAATAGAAAAATATTTGCAAGAAGGTATAAGTAAACTTGAATTGGCTTAGCGAAATATTCTGCAAATTATTTTAAGTATTTGTAGCGACTAGAGGGGCCATGATTACTTCAATAATCACAAATCTGTGCAAACGCCAATATCATGTGTACCACACAGAAATATTACCATTTATTGAAATTTTTACCCTCACACTGCAAAGTGATAAATATAAATTTTGTATGTAAATGTTTCTGTAAGACACATTAAATGAACTCATGAAATTTAATTGAATTTATATTCAAAAGAAAAAAAACTGACATAACACTAACAAGATGGATTTCGACCGAAACAAGTTCAAGTCAAAATATTTAAATAAACAAATCGAACATAGACGAAGTATATTGAACCTGAGTGCCCGAAATATTTACGATTTGGTCATAATAGCAAATTATTTACTCAAATTCATTTTATATTGTATCTATTGATATATATTAATTTATATGTAAATGGTGTTGTAGTTTTATTTGATGATTGTGTTTTCGTTTTATTATGTTTTTTATATTCACATAATTAAGTTGTTATACATTTTTAATTTTTATTTAATATGTTGTTATGCTAATTTGATTTAGTTGGAAAACAATAACAAATGTGTTAACTTAATTAAAGCAGAGTTTTACTATTAGAATTTATTAATCAAATCAAATCTTGAGAATTTTTTGTTAATAGTAAATATGATCCTTTCTTAATAAATGAAACGGCCATGCATGTTGCATGCAGTGAGCTCTTACAGACCTACATTGAGCTACCTCTTCGTATCGTAAGCTTAGCGTACGTCACATATGTACGTCATAAGACAACACCATCGACTCCTAATCAAGCACTGTCTTCTTTTTTGCCAAAAAAAAAAACACCTCTAATTAAAAACTTACTGTTGTCAATAGATATCCTGACCACACACAATAGATGTGTAAACCGATACTCCCCACTTATCTATTCGAAAAAGAACCTTTTTTTTATTATTTTATTAAATTGCGCCTAATTAAAAATAAAAACTAATTAGCAATATTTTTACATCGGACTTAAAATAGTCAATAGTCATCGTTATCGGTAAAATTATAGTATAATGATAAATATGTAATTTTTTTAGCTAAATCAGAGGGTTTTGGTCTCTTAAGTAGTCGTACGAGGTCTTCTGTTTGAAGAAGTGATGAAGCTTCTGTGTTACAGTGGACCTCAAGTTTTTTTTTATCTGCTTCAGTTCAGCCTGAAGCGTGATTATTTCAGCAACTGTCCGAACGTCCAAGTCACGATGAAGGTCGCTGTTACGGAAATACCACAGAGCATTGGTAATTGTTCTTAATATGTTGTTTTGATATCGTTGGATTATCTGCCTATTCAATTCAGACGTGCAACCCCAGAGTTGCGATTTATAGGTCCAAAGTGGACGTTATACCTGCTTATACACTAGTACCTTGTTTTCGGTTGACATAATAGAATGTCAACCAAGTAGCTACTTAATTAAGTTGAACTTAAGATTTAGCTTTTGACATGAAGTGTCATATCCAAGTGCTTAGCTCTATTAGTGTATGGAATTTGTTGGTCATTAATATACAGAAGTATGTATCTAATTTCCTTATATGTAAATACAATATGTGCAGTTTTTGGGGTATTTACTTTTATTTTCCAATTATTAGCCTACTTTCTGGCACGTGGTTAAGAGAAGCCTGAAGGTTCTTTTTTGCAATTGCTTCAGTATTTTTCACGGACACATATCTGTACGTTGTTTTACGTAGCATTCTATGCCATGGAGGCCTACCACTACGGTATTCAAAAACACGACGTATTGATACGAAGCGTCAATCAACGCCTCATTGAAATATCCTTAGAAATTCGACCGGTACCAATGAAGACACAATTTCCATGTTGGTACAATGCGAAGTTCATCTTAAACCTCTACTATACTCGGTGGTGCATACGCAACTCCACGCCGAATGTGAACTAAAATTGAACCTTCTTCCCGCGTAAGTTTGCGTATTAACCACAGCCACTACGTGTTTGACCTCAACTGGTCAGCACAGCCGAAGCTGCGGGTCACTGACCCCCGTAGTATCGGATTTACACCTCCGGTCGAGTGTAGCAAATGCAGACCTCACTTACTACCATGCACACTCCCTGCATAAGTATCGGCGTGGTATCGGGACTTTAGTCGCCTCTTACGACAGGCATGCCTTACCTCGGGAATATTCTAACCCCTTCACCGCAGGGGGCATTTTTCACGGACAGAAGAGCCGTATCATTTGCAAAAATTACGATTGTTGTCTTAATAACACTCCAAATATCGTGCGTATACAAACGATATAATAAGGAGTCGAGATGGTACCCTATGAAACGCTCGCTTTTATTGGATATGTATTCAAATAAATGTTTTCGCGTTTAATTTTAAAGTATCTCTTAGAAAGATACGATTCAAAAAATATTGCGTATTGCATAGGCAGAATCGTTCTTATTTTATGAAGCAGACCTCTGTGTCACACTTTATCGAAGACCTGCGATACGTCGAGATAGACAACAATGCATACCGTTTTGTTTTCAAAGGATTTTTCGATAATATTTGTTATTCTGTGCATCTGGGCAATTGTAGAATAATATTTTCTGAAGCCAAAATTGTTAAATTGGTGTAACATTGTTTTCTGATATGAAAAATCGCTATCTCGAGTACCTTAGACATGATTGGTAGTAATGATATAGACCTATATAATGAGACCTCGTGCGCAGTGGTTCTCGGCTATAGGATCATAATTACCTCCGACTTTTTCTCCATAATTGGCACATGTTTTAATTGAAGTGCAGCGTTAAGTATTTGCGTTAGCTTAATGATACATTTCACAGATATCTGACAATGTTGCGTCAGATATCAATAGTAATCATATCAAATCCTTTTGATTTTTTAATTTAAGCTTAGAATTAATGATTTCTATGCTTTCTAACTGAGAGACCTATGAAACTTCATTACATTACAATGAAAACGGAGGATGTATAGTATAAACAAATCCTAACAACAAAAACTTCAACGTACTTAGGATAACGTTAATTGAGGTGCACAGAAAAAATTTTTTTTTAATAAATTAAAAAATATATGACAAGCAGTAATAAGGATACGAAATTCTCGAACTCGACATCTTCAATCATCTGCAAACAGTATACCACTGTTATTAATAAGTTATTAGACTGAGTAAGTTTTTCAGTCTCGTTCATCAAATTGACTTAGTGCTGCATCGACTTGATCATTTCATCGGAGACACTTTCTACCTTTACGGCTTCTTACTCTAACTACTGTTTCAAATACCTTTTTCGCTGAAGTGTCTTTATCCATATAGTCCGTTTATTATAAAGTGTTAGTGTTATCAGTCAAGAAAGGGCTCTACATCCTTGTTTCATACTGAACTCATAATAACACATATTAGCAATCATAATTCCTCATCTAATTTTAAGGCTAAAAAGCAGCAAAAGTATGATCGCCAGTAAAAACGGTGAAACCTATTTTTGCAGATTCTCTTTTAGTAGAGGCAAACGAAAAAGTAGCATCTCGGTTGCTACACCCGATGTTGACGATGTGGTCAACGTAAAAAGAAACTGGGCACATTTAGCACATTTATGCTATGCTTCAATACATTTGACATTTGCCATTTGCCACGAAGTTTAAAGAACGATCACAGCTACTTGTCTACAGCGACCAAGTGTCTCTCACAAGAAGATTGGTACATTACAATAGCAACATCTAGCGCGATAACAATAGTAAATTAATGAAGGTTCGATCTACTTGCTATGTTATTATGATCAGATTTAGTCAGTATAATTTACTATAACTATAATTAAGTAAATATAATTAAAAAAAAATTCATCGAATGTGATTGACCAAGCACCATACTTACCTAATATAGCCAGATGTGAGTTTTTTTCTGTCTCCGGAGCTAAAAACACCCTTTGAGCATTGGCAAGACCAGAAAAGTAATGTTGAATGATTGATAACATTTTTGCATTTTATTTATTTATAACATATACTTTTTATTAAGAATATTTAATTTTTACATAACATAATTGTACTTTTCTGATATAAGATACTTTTGCTAATAAATTCTGAATAAATCTTTCAATTATAGATTGGCAAATATTTTATATACATTGCTTAAAATATAATAAATACTATTATGTATTTTTTAATTCCAGATAAAATCAAAAATGATTGAATTGTGATAATAAAGTGAGGTATTTTCTGCGATCACTTATAGCAATAAACGCTAAATAAAAGTGAAAAATTGCAAATAGACATAATTGAATGATTATTTGCTACCAACGGAAAATTGATTGCGCATACAACTGGCACGTTAGCACCAATCAATATAATTCAGCTTCAATTCAAGCTCCAGCTTCAGCTTCATATATCCATGACGAAACCACAACATAACAGAAACACTACTTCAAGTCATTTTGGATGAAACAAATATTGTTGTTGCAAACACAAGAACAAAGCACAGTTACAAAACAACCTGCAACTTGTAACAATTCAGAATAAATTACAAATAATTGAAAAATTATTACAATCAGAAGCAATCAATATCAAAAATATTGTTATTATATGTAAAGCAAATTGCAGCCAAAGGCTTTAACCAAACAATATTTGCGTTAAGCAACAATATTAGCAGTTAAAACAACAGAACAACTGCAACGACTGCAACAACTGCAACAGCTACAACTACAGAAACAAAAGCAACAAAACAGATATAATAACAGTGACGAGAAAAAATATTAAAACCAACAATAACAATAGTTGCTCGCTATTGTGGTAGCTGGTGAGGCCAATAGCAGACTCCAGTGATGTTATAATGAAAAGTAGTCAATTTCGGCACCACCAACTACAATTGCAAACAGCTACTGAACTACAACAACTACAGCAACAACAACAACTACCAGACCATAAACAAAAATTACAGGAAGATACCCAACAACAACATCAACAACAACAATATAAACATCAGTATCAACATCAACATCAGCCACAAAAACAACAACAAGAGCAACGACAGCAAACATTTGTTCAAGCAGCACAATCAATAGAACAATCACAGTTTGCATCAGCTATATTAGCAACCAAATCAACAACGGCAACAACACCAGAAGCTGTACAAAATACAACATTATTGCATCAACAACATCACCAACAACAACAACAACAGAAACATTTCCAGCAACAACAAACACTGACAGAATTGCATCAGTCAACTGTTGGCAACATTGAACATCATCGTGCACGTCTTCATCATCAGCATTTAACGCTTCCGCTGTCACAACAGCAGCAATTGCACGCACATCAGCAATACTCAACACTGCAAACTCAAAATAAATTACAATCGCAATCCCAATCCCAATTGCATTCGCAGACCCAATCACAACAGCAATCAAAGGTGCAATCACAATTGCAGACGCATCTTCAACTCCAACATCAGCTGCATCAACCACAAAAATCACCAGCCATAAAAAACCAAAATAACGCAGTAGCGGAACCAATGGTCGTTAAAAAAAGTCAACAACCCGTTGTAACAACAGCAGTGCCCGTATCCGCCAATCATAGTGTCAGTTTTGCGCAACAGCGCAACAACGGCAAACTGAACGTACCAATGGCCACGACATCAGTGGCCGCAATGGCTGCTGCGGCAGCTGCAGCGGCAGTTGCGCACCAGGTTAATCATGTAGTTAACAATGGTGGCGGAGGTGGTAGTGTGGGCGTCGGTGGAGCACCAGATGCGCGTGCAAAGCAGGTGTTAAGAGAAGCCGTTGATGCGGTTGTGAATAGTTTCGCCAAGCACACACAAGGATACGGAAGAGGTAAGTCATACAATCGTTGCATGCATAATCATAATAAGCAAAAAAACTCGTAGTAAACCGATACAAATCTTTTGAAGATTCTCTAACACTACAAAATGAAACGCCTTATGTTAATAAAAATTACTAATAATATTGTCGTGTAGTTTTTGTATAACACCTCCGCAGTACCGTTGAAAATGTTCGGTCTCAATTATTAACTGTCGTAGTTTATAAGTAAAAAATAACTTTTCACATTATAACTTACATTCTCTTCGTCAGCCTTTTACGCAGTCTATAAACTATTTTTATTTTGTATCTTTGGTCTAAATTATGAGATAACAATTTTAGTCATTTATGTTGGTGTTTACAGATATGTATGTAGATCGAAATAATAATTAGATCAAAAACCTAAGACCTGTACACCTGTTTTGGTTTAATTTTATAGAACCGGATAATGTCCGCTATAATATTCTAAATTATTTAATTAATGAATTATATACAGCCATAGTCAAAAGTATTTACACAACGAAAGTTTTTGTATATATTGCATAAAAACAATGTTTTTATTGTTGTTGTTGGACGTAAGTTGCAAAAATTTTTTTTATTGTCACTTAGTTTTATCCATGCAGAACCAAATAAAAAAAGAATTGGAAAGATAACTGTTCATTTGACAAAAATATAAGCAAATGCACTGATGCCTATTAATTGTCAAAAGTATTTACACACATTTTTCTCGCGTAAAAAGTATTTACACAAAACATTAATTAGCATTTATTCTAGGATTTCCTTTAAGTAAGTGCAGTTGTTAGCTTTTGTCACAAACTACACAAGTTTAGAGATTTCAAAATTTCAGAAATTATTCAGGAAAATGATAAAAACCAAGGAATTATCAGTTGAAATTCGATCTGAGGTTGGTACCTAATATAAGAGTGGGATTTCGGCGACAAACTTAGTAAAGTTATGAAAAATTTTACATAAAACGGTATAAAATCTAGTTAAAAATAAAAACATATGCAAAAATTAAAAAAATTAATCTGCCAAAATAGCAGCATCATCAGAAAAGTTGATTGGCAAGATTATTAGTGATGCTACACTACATCGCAGGTTGAGAGATGCTAATATCAATACCTATTTGATGCACAAAAAAGTCAATATTACTCTAACGACCCTATCAAATCGTCTCTCATTTCCTTTGAAGTATTTTAAGAAACCTATACAGTTTTGTTACAATGTGTTATGGACAGATGAGTCTGGATTTCAATTCTAGGGTTCATTTGATAACCACTCCATGCATTTAGGACAACGCCAAAAGAATAAAGCAGTGCAGCCACTCAATAGATTTGAAGGTGGCACGGTTTTGTTTTGGGGATGTCTATCTTGCTATGTATTTGGAGATTTGGTACCTTAAATCAGTTCGGTTATAATAGTGTTTAAAATAACCATGTCTTAACGTCAGAAAATACACCCTTTCTTATCAATAACTGGGTTCTACAACATGAGAATGCACCATGTCATCAAGGATGTAGACTTAATCCAAATTTAAAAGAGTTAAATCCTGCGGTTTTTTACAGCCTGCGCAGAGCCCTGGTCTTAATGTCATTGAATATGCTTGAGACTTCATAAAACAACAAAATACTGTTGATAAAAATCCAAAATGTAGTGATAACATAATTGAAATAGCGAATATTCGGTTCAAATTGATTTGCAACTTGATTGGATCAATTCCAGTTAGGTTGCGGGCAGTTATTGATGCCAAAGGTGGTGTAACCAAATATTAATTATATTAATTAAATAATAATAAAAAGATTTTTAAAAAATTCATCAAGTAAAAAGAAGAAAATTAAATTAACGTTTTGTGTAAATACTTTTGACGCGAGAAAAATGTGTGTAAATACTTTTGACAATTAATAGGCATCAGTGCATTTGCTTATATTTTTGTCAAATGAACAGTTATCATTCCGATTCTTTTTTTATTTGGTTCTGCATGGATAAAACTAAGTGACAATAAAAAAAATTTTTGCAACTTACGTCCAACAACAACAATAAAGACATGTTTTAATGCAATATGTGCAAAAACTTTCGTTGTGTAAATACTTTTGAGTATGACTGTAATTAATACTCACTATTATTGGACTGATATATTTGTGTATAACTAGAATCGAGCAGAATTTAAGCAATTAAGAAGCAAAGTAAGTGTAGTTGAGATTATTCTAATTCATATATACTCTGTCATTGTTTTAGACCACATGATGATACCTGCATAGTAATTCATTGCATTGAATAATTAAACTTTGACAGCAGTTGCGGTCGTCGATGAAGAGCTGATCTTGGACGTTGCTTAACAAATTTAATAAATAAATCCATATTTAATTCATATTTATGAAGATAAATTTATGAATTTTAATCTAAATTTTTAAGTGTATGCTTTATTATACTGAAAGTCGAAGTATCTTTAGAAAAACAGAACTATAAACTAAGCTAAATGGATAAGTTACTTTAGTTAGCATTTGTAATAAACTTTTTCGATGTGACGTTGTTTAAGGGTTCACACCCTCTCAAATATTTCCAACCGTTTTTAATATCAACTTTGAATTACATTTTCAAATCAGTTTGCTTTTCTTCTACTAGAATCCTTACCTTCTTATCAGTTTGTGCACATTTTATTGACGTAAATTATATTCAATTAATGTAAACTATATTTAATTGAATTTTGTTCAAGTGTCGGGTCGACAAACTTAGTAAGTTTGAATATCATTTATCAGTTTTATGAACTATACCGCAATTCCTGAAAAAATTTTAGCTGTTCGATAAACGCATTCTCAAGAATATTCGTACATTAAAGTTTTCAAACTTATAAAAAGTATTATGGAGGCATGCGGTCGTTTGAAGTTCAAATGATAAAATAAATCGCTATATCTTTTCTTAACTTAATTTTTATTTTAAACAATTTTAATTTAAACATAAAGACTGCTTCTACTGTATATGAAAAATTTCAGAAATTTGGTGCCCTATTGCTACTGTACTTAAAAGGTTGACGCAATAACTCTTGAGTGATTCTTTAAAAATAATTAAAAATTATTTTCAGAAGTCGGATAAGTATTTTAAAAATAATACACCTAAATTAAGTAAAATGATTTGTATAATTGTTTAAAATAATTTTTTTCAATCAACAAACCTAACTGGAAGAACTATGATTTGTTCTTATTATTATAACTTAATAACAAATTTAACGCTTTATTCAACAAACATATTAACACTCTGCCAAAAGATACTTGTGTACAGTAACTTATTAGTTTCATAGAAAGATCTAATAAAAAATAGAAAAAATAAAAAATGATGCGATAAAAAGATATACAATTCACTACAAAAGTACCGAAAAGCGCTAACCGTGCTAAGTATCCTGAATTCCATACAACAACTTCGTCGTTATCTGTATCAGATTTTTTTCGTTTCGTATTTTATTCTATTTATTTTCTTTACTCTAACACTTTGTTTGCTATTGAATTCAGTACAAGATGTTAATGACTAAATCAAATTAGGCATTGAAAGTATCGCATAATGCAGAGTAAGAACTCACATTTCCGAGAAAACATGAATTCCCTTCTGCGAACAAGTGGCTCGTTTGATCTCGTGCTAGAGGACGGCCAAGTTAAAATTATAGCTGAACTAATTAAAGCCAAAAACATGCGAAGTACTGGAGAACGTTTATTCTTTTATTTTTAGTACACGAATATTTACAAAAATAATTTACAGTTTTGCGCAGAAAAATGTCAAGAAACAGAAAAAAGAAAATGAACACAAAACGAACAAAAAGTATCTTCAAATATTTACAGGAAAAAATAATGAAGAGCAACAGTAAAATCATCATTTTGGAAAAAAAATGTTTTTTTGTTTGTATCTGACGCCCTTCACCCCGATAAACTAATCGAATTGATGTTTCCAGTGCGTGAAACTTTGGTTGCGCTTCCTTTTTTCTTTTGCTGTCACTCCCGGCAAAATCTACACAATATAAAGCAAGTTTATGCGGCCCGTGCATCTCCGTGCCTGATTGCGCATTCCTATTTAACAGTGTACATACAGGGTGTACGAAATCTTCATGCTTGTTTGTTTGTGTATGTAGAAGATAACTTTTTGATTTGACTTTATTTTCGTTGCTTATCTTGTTTGGCAGTGGGTTAAAATGTGTTCTCTTGTCAATTTATCAAATCAGCGGAATTTTATTTGTGACGCCTTATCCTTGTCAATAGTTGGGCACAGTTTGTATGGTCGTTGTCGTTCTCGTTGTCGTTTTGTCTTCTCTTTTCTACTATTTTCTTTTCTTTTTTTTTTGTTTTTATATATTTAATTTACTTTTATTTACCTTGCCTTTTGCAAATGTCAAAAGTCATTTTGGTGCTATAAATTTAAATAATTAACTTCCTCATAAGTGGATTCGCTAAAGCACTATTTAAAAGAACGTTCCTATATAAAAACCATTTCACTACTAAAGCATATCTTTAGTATTTTACATATGAATAACTCTTAATTGAGATCATATATTTTATATTTGGCGTATATAATTGGGTTGGTACATAATTACTGGGACTTTTAGTTTTAGTTTTATTAAATAAAAATAGCAACAACATTTCAAAAAGCATTTTCATATCCATCATCAACTTAGTTTACTTACTTTAGTAACTATATAAATAGTTACAGCCGAGAAAGAAATTACTGTTTTTAGAGATAATTCAATTTTTGACAATGGGCGTTAAAGACTGCCGGACACTCTGGTACCTCTTAAAAAATCGACAGGTTCGCCTTTGTTGTGTCCGAAAAAATGTTGAATGGGTTCCATTCAACCAATTTCGATATTTTCTGATCTTTTTAAGATGATGAAGTATGTCCAAGAGTAATCTACTATCAGAACTTCGGTCAAGTTTTCTTTCTCTTTCACATCTTTTAATTTCGCTTCCAAGTGCATACTGGTTGCAAATGTTCACACCATATTACTAAAATTCAATTTATTTAATTTGATTTCCTAA